AATGGGACACGGCAGACAAACCTTTGCCCCGTAGTTAGGGCTCGGGGCTTCGTGCAGCAGAGAAGGACGTGTCTGAGGGATTCGCCCGACTCCTCTGGTGTGCCCAATCTCCAGGAACACCTGACAGGGTCCTAAACATTCCTGGAGACACCTGGCCCCCCTTCCAGGGACCCCAAGATGCTATCAGAGATGGAAGCTTGATGGAGAGCTGGCAGGTGGCCCGTCCTTCTTGAAGCCTTTGGCCCCTGACAGGTGGGAAAGGCAGGACAGGCAGTGCAAGCGAGCGAGACCCGCCCAGTTGGTTCTCCTGGAGATCCTGGACTGATAGGGGACTAGGGCTGGGCGGAGCCAGGCCCTTGGGTGAGACCTGTTCTTGGAACTCTATCGGCCCAGGACCCAGCCCTCTGCACTCCAGATAAGCTCCAGACTTCTCCCTCCCGCTCAGGAGTCCACCCTCACACTCCAGGACAGTGCTCGCCGCGGTGGTAACGTCAGCACGGCCGCAAGGAAGCTGCCTCGGCTGGCCCCTGCTCCCCAGGACCCTCCAGAGACCCCCCTTCCCTCCGGCAAGGGCAGAAAGGGGTCTGCTCCCTGCTCACCAAGTGGACAAAGGGAAGTACTGTCCTTCCCCACGTTGGCCATGACCTGAACCAAGAGCACTTCCAGGAATCCTTGGCGTCTTCTCACCCTAAAGAGTTTTGTGGGGGTGCATTCTGGAAACAGGGTCACTCACACACACACACGGCGTCACCGCTGAAACACCAACATGACGGCCTCAGTACGGTGACTCGGATTTCTCACGAGCATTTTCCCCCGGGGTTGACCAGCAATTTAGTGTTTGCTGATAAACTGACATGTCTGGTCATAGCTAAGTTATGTTTGTTGACACGGTCAAGCACAGGTTACCACCTACCAATCACAGTATCTGCTATCGATTATCTATCTATCTGTTCGTCATCTACCGTCCATCCATCTATTTTGCATCCATTGTCCATCATCCACCCATCATCCACCATCCATCCATCAACCATGATCCATCCATCCATCGTCCATCATCCACCCACCATCATCCACCCATCATCCATCATCATCCACCCATCATCCATCATCATCCACCCATCATCCATCATCCATCCATCCTCCACCATCATCCATCCACCATCCATCCTCCATCCATCACCCACCCATCCATCCCTAGGCTCAGACCCCAGGGATCTTGGTCCGTGCACATCGGGTGGGCTGGCAGGAGAGAGACCATGCTCATCCCTTGTGTGGTGACCAGGGCCAGCGCCCACTGCCCACTGCCCGGCACGCCACGCTGAGAGCCGTGCAGCCCCAGGCGCCGTGACTCACAGGAGGCCAAAGAGGGCCCCCCCGAAGGCCCAGCCAAGGAGACGCCAGGGCTGAGTCGCTTCCCGCCTCACCTTTGTAGACACCGTTCCAGCCGCCCCGCTGGGCCCCGCCCTCCCAGGACTCCAGGCGGCCCCCGTTGTCCGAGGTGAAGTACACCAGCGTGCAGTTGGCCAGCAGCTCCCGGTCCAGCGCGGCCAGGATCTTCCCTGGGGAGAGGACAGCGGGGAGGGGGTGACGTCTCAGCGACACCTGAGCCGTGGCTGTGCACGTGTGTTACGTGACAGCCTCGTCCCGTGGTGCCGTGTGCGTGCGATGTCACGAAAGAAGCCGTAAGCCTCCATGGCGTCGCGGTGGCACCTGGGAGTGACCGTTAGGCGATACGGAAGGACCTCTGTGGCGTAATGCTCGTCACGAGGCTCGATGGGGTCAGTCGCAATAGTTCACGGTGTATGATACGATACGAACAGATCTCTGCTGTGTGACTGATGTCGTGCGTCTCTGTGGTCTTTGCAGTCGGTCGCTATTACGTCATAGGCACAAATCTCTATTGCGTGACTTGTGCAATACGTCTCTACGGAATCATTCGCCGTAGTTCACTACGTGGTGTGTAATATGTATTGTGATTGCACTGTTGTGTGGTTCATGTAAGGCTTCACGGTATCCTGTGCAATAGTTCACTACCTGTATAATGCATAAAAATCAAGTCACTACGGTGTCACTCGCAATAGATCACTATTTATTATATAATTTGTATAAATCTCTATTGTGCAATTTACGTAGCAAGTCTGTGGTATTTGCGATAGTTCACTGTTGTATACGTACAAGTCTCTGTTGCATGATTCATGTAATAAGTCTCTACAGTGTCCTTCGCAGTAGGTCACTATTTATTATAGGATATAATGTATTATGAAAGTATTGTGATTGCACTGTTGTGTAGTTCCTGTAACAAGGCCTCACGGCATCCTGTGCAATAGCTCGCTACTTGTTGTATAATATATAAAAATCTCTATTGTGTAATTTATGTAGCAAGTCTCTAGGGTATCACTGGCAATAGATCACTATTTATTACACAATATGGACAAACCTCCACTGTGCAATTTACGTAGCAAGTCTCTTGGTTTTCGCGATAGTTCACTGTTGTATCAGATGTACAAGTCTCTGTTGCATGATTCATGTGATAAGTCTCTACCGTGTCATTCTCAGTAGTTCACTATTACATAATGTATTACAAAAATATTGTGATTGCACTGTTGGGTAGTTCCTGTAACAAGGCCTCATGGCATCCTGTGCACTAGCTCGCTACTTACTGTATAATACATAAACATCTCTATTGTGTAATTTGTGTAGCAAGTCTCTAGGGTATCACTGGCAATAGATCACTATTTATTACATAATATGGACAAACCTCCACTGTGCAATACGTAGCGAGTCTCTGCCGTATTTGCAATCGCTCAGATTATATAATACGTACAAATCTCTGTTGTGCAGCTTATGTAGAAGTCTCTGCGGTTTCACTCGCAGTAGATCACTAATCCACAATATGTACGAATCACCATTGTGCGATGTCATAAGTGTCTCTGGTATCGCTCGCAATAGATCACTACTGAGTATAGAACATGGAAAAACACTGCGTCATTCCCGTGAGCAGTCTCGACGGCGTCACTGGCAA